ATGGCACAGCCCTGGCTGTGTACATGCGTCCTACTTCTAGTCACCCCGATAAGCAGGACAAGGTACTTTCAGTGTTCTATATGATCATTATTCCCATGTTAAATCCTCTTATCTATAGTCTGAGGAATAAAGAGATCAAAGAAGCCGTGAGAAGGGTGATGAAGAAGGTGAGACATTTTCCCCCATAAGAATAACGTTTGGCCAGGTATTCTAAGCATCAGAAAAGAGAAAGTTTAAGAATTTGTGACATTTCAGTAGGAATAATACTATCCATTTAGGAAAGTGAAACCTGATTTCCCTGACTTCTGTTGCCATTAGGTATATTCTCATCAAAATTAATGTGTGTCAACTACTACCGTTAATAAGAATCCCTATTTAAGCACCTGTCTTCATGACTAGATTTAGGTAGATAAAACTCTATGGAAAAGGCAAGTTAGGGAAATGAGAAGACATTTAATTCAATGTCACACTGCTCTTTTCTTTGTTTATTTTCTATATGTTTTTATATTTGATTGTTCAGCACATAGAGTTTAATGAAATTAAAATATTTCACATAGATATACAGGTTAAAGCTGAAATAATGAAAAAAAAGCTTTAATCCCAGAGGAAAAGAGAAAATGTGGAAGAGAAACTGGAGCGAGGTGTGGGAGAACTAAGGAAAGAAGAGTGATAAAGATTTTGTCTGTATTTTTTCCAAATGACTTCTTTCTTTCCACCTTACTCACTGAACTCCCTTATGAAGAGTAGTCTTTAAAAGGATGGGAGAAAATCATGGAAAGGAAAAGGAATTCTCTTAAAATCAAGATCACGGGGCTGGAGCGCTAGCACAGCAGGTAGGGCGTTTGCCTTGCTCACGGCCAACCCAGGTTCGATTCCCAGCATCCCATATGGTCCCCTGAGCACCGGCAGGAGTGATTCCTGAGTGCAGAGCCAGGAGTAAACTCTGCAACGCCAGATGTGATCCAAAAAGCAAAAAAAAAAAAAAAAACTAACTAAGATCAGAAAAATTTCCAGCAGCAGAAAGAGGCATAGATATCAATTTCCACATTGATGTGCCTGGGATATGCTTCATGTGATTCCCAAAGACTGTGCAAAATTTCATAATGTTTGTGCTGGACAGTATCTAGCAAGGTAGAATCTGGGTCCCCTCGGATAATTTAATTTTCCAGGAGTTTTACTTGGAAGTTTGAGCAGAATCTGTAGAAGAAGTAGAATTTAAAATTTGCGCTGTTTCCACCAGAACAGTGAAAGTTTTTTTTTTGCCTTTGCCAGTACTCAATGTGTGTGGGCAGTGATGGTACAGTGACAACTCTAAGTTTCTGTTACCTGGGTCAGTAATGGATTACCTTGTACCATTTCTGATTTTATAATCACTAAACTTATGATTGAAATAATAAACTTTACAGAGATCACCCAAATTTATCCTCTTGGTATTTTTATAGTTCCTCAGAGCAATTGTAATGCTCTTGATTGAATTCTAGTTGATTTCATTTTTTAAAATCCAAGGTAAGTGGTTTGTTATCGTTTACTATGTCTATTTCTTTCATTTTCGGGATTTGTTTCTTTATACATTCCAGATGAGATCACGGTCCTCCAGTTGTTCCTTGATTTGCTTGAGCGGGCCCAGTAGCGTCTCCATCATGAGACTTGTTACTGTGTTTGGCATATCGAATACGTCATGGGTAGCTTGCCAGGCTCTGCTGTGTGGGCGAGATACTCTCGGTAGCTTGCCGGGCTCTCTGAGAAAGGCAGAGGAATAGAACTTAGGTAGGCCATCTTGGCCGCTTGTAAGGCAAACGCCCTACCTCAGTGCTATTGCTCCAGCCCAGATGAGTGGGAGAAAATTGTATTTACTCATTTACTTTGGATTTATTTCAATGAAAACAATGCCTTTAAATTCTATTCAGATTGCAGATGAATTCAATATTTCATTTTTTGTTATAACTGCACAATATTTATTTTTTTATCTATAACAGCTACTTTATTCATCTGTCATTGGACATTTTGGTTGTTTTTATATCTGGCTATCATATTAGTATGGCAATAAATGTCAGTGTGTATAATATATGTCTTTTAAATTAACATAGGGGTATGTATTTTCAAAATTATTTCAAAAAATACTTTAAAATTAAGTTATTTTTTATGGGATGGGTAAGTATCATGAAGAAAAATAACTGGGATATGGAAATTCTCTTTCCTTTTTGAGAAGTCACCAAACAATTTTCTCTAGTGATTGACCTGGAAAACATTCCACCAATAGTCTGGTGTGAAATAATAGCTCATTTTCATTTTAATTTTAATTTTTTCATCAAGGAGTCTACAAACAATTTTTCATGTGACTTCATTCTTTTGGAAGGTGTCTGCCATTTCCTTCTTCCCATTTTGACAGGGTGACTCTTTTTGTATGTTTTCTGAGCTTTTATATATATATTTTGGAAGTTAGCATTTTATATGATGTCTGATGTACAAATATTTTTCCCATTTAGTAGGATATCTTTAGTTTAGCTCACATTTTTTTCCATGCAAAACATTTTTAGTTTGATATATAGTCCCATTTGTTTATTTCTGCAATTGATTTCTTTGCCAAGAGAGTCAAATTTTAGCAGATATATCTGAGGTACATATTCTGGAATGTTCCACCTATGTCTCAAAATATGTTATGAATTCCGGTTTAATATATAGTTTTTTTTTCTTTTTGGATCGCACCGGCAACGCACAGGGGTTCCTCCTGGCGTTGCATTCAGGAAATACTCCTGGCGGTGCTCAGAGACCATATGGGATTGTGGGAATTGAACCCAGGTTGTCTGCATGCAAGGCAAATGCCCTATCCCCTGTACTATTCTCCACCCCCTATCAAGGTATTTTTCCACTTAGAATTTAGCTTTGTAAGATGTTTATCCAGTTTTTAGTTCTTAGCATGTGAAAATTCAATTTTCTCAGAGCTGGTAATATGAATTTTTGAAGAAATGTATGAAACTGTAGCCCAATCTAATACATATATAATCTTGTAACTATATACATAAAATCAAGAATGGGATCTTGTTAAAACTAACTATATTCCTAGTAACAGTCAGTGTAGATGAGTTCAGTGCAAATAAAAAGAATAGATATTTGTGGCAACGATCTGAAGTTGACATTTGTAAGGAAGAATCAATAGTATTACATAATGATGTAAGAATTATATTAGGTCACATGAATCATACCTATCATTAATGTATGATATTCAGTGTATTAAGTACTCATAGGCATTTTATAGACATTAATTGATTTGATTCACTCATTGATAACCTACTGTATATAACTACTACAACATACTTGGTTTTATAGGTGGTAAAAGTGAGCTTGCACATGGTAAGTTTCTCTAGTCACATTACTGGATATAAAAAAAACTAGTATTCACCCCAGTTTGGGCTATTCTGTTAACCCTGATTATGACCATTATAAATGTCTTGTCTTGACTTTGTTTTTTTTTTTTATATATTCCTGCTTTACCTGTTTTTTTTTCTCACTAATAAAAACAATTTAATGCAAAATCTGTCTCACAGGATTGTTTGGTAATGGATAGGGCACTGAGAAAATGTTTGAATGTATATTTAAATAGCAAAAGTAAAGATGGAAATTCCATTATTTAACTTTCTATTATGAAGCCATTTACTAGCAGTACCATCTTTTTTTTTCTGTGTTAGTCTGTTATTTTATTCCATTTTAAAAAATTTTTATTAGTGAAACACTATGAGGTACAGTTGTAGATTTACAATTTTTTGTGCTTGGGTTTCGATTATACAATGATCAAATACCCATCCCTCCACCAGTGCCCATTTTCCACCACCATGGATAATATCCCTCCCACCCCCATCTCCCCCACCAAACCCTGCCCCTTTGGCAGGGAATTCCCTTTTGTTCTCTCTCTCCTTTTGGGTGTTGTGGTCTGCAAAAGAGGCATTGAGTGGCAAACATGTTCAGTCCATAGTCTACTTTCAACATGCATCTCCCCTCCTGGGAGGATCCTCCAAACACCCTTTATTTGGTGCTCCCTTCTCTATCTGAGCTGCCCTATCCTCTAGAATGCCTGGCTGGACTCTAACTATGGAGTAATCGTCCTGGTGCTGATCTCAGCTATTCTTGGGTATTAATCTCATACTTTGTTACTTTATATCCCCCAGATGAATGCAATCTTTCTATGTCTATCCCTTTCTTTCTGACACATTTCGCTTAGCATGATACTTTCCATGTTGTACCACTTATATGTAAATTTCATGACTTCATCTTTTCTAAGAGCTACATAGTACTCCATTGTGTAGATGTACCAAAGTTTCTTTAACCAGTCATCTGTTCTTGGGCATTCAGGTTTCTTCCAGTTTCTGCCTATTGTAAAGAGTGCTACAATGAACAAACAAGTGCAGATGTCACTTGGAATATATACATTTTTGCCTCTCTGGGATATATTCCCTGGAGTAGTATTGCTGGGTCAAATGGGAGGTTATTTTCTAATTTTTTGAGAATCGTCCATACTGTTTTCCAAAAGGGTTGAGCCAGTCAGCATTCCCACCAACAGTGAAGGAGTGTCCCTTTCTTGCCACATCTGCGTCAGCATCGGTTGCTTTTGTTCTTTTGGATGTGGGCCAGTCTCTGAGGTGTGAGATGGTATCTCACTGTGGTTTTGATCTGCATTTCCCTGATGATTAATGATGTAGAGCATTTTCTCATGTGCTTTTTTGCCATTCTGATTTCTTCTTTGAGAAATTTTCTATTAATTTCATTGCCCCATTTTTTGATGGGGTTGGATGTTTTCTTCTTGTGGAGTTCAACCAGTAATTTGTATATCCTTGATATCAACCCCTTATCAGATGTGTATTCGGCGAATATCCTTTCCCATTCTGTAGACTGTCTTTGTATTTTGGTCACTGTTTCTTTTGAGATGCAGAAGCTTCTTAGTTTAAGAAGCTGGGCAGTGCGGGAGGCGCCACTCTTGTGCGGGGCCCGCGGGGTGGCCACGCGGCATGGACAGCGGCGTGGATGGCCACTTCCTCGGCGCCGGGTGGGCTGGACAGCGCAGGGCCATGGCCGAGGCAGCAGCGGCTCCGATTTCTCCCTGGACCATGGCGGCCACCATCCAGGCCATGGAGCGCAAGATCGAGTCGCAGGCGGCCTGCTTGCTGTCCCTGGAGGGCCGCACCGGGATGGCCGAGAAGAAGCTGGCCGACTGTGAGAAGACGGCGGCCGAGTTCGGCCAGCAGCTGGAGGGCAAGTGTGCCGTGCTGGGCACGTTGCTGCAGGAGTACGGGCTGCTGCAGCGGCGCCTGGAGAATATGGAGAACCTGCTGCGGAACCGCAACTTCTGGATCCTGCGGCTGCCACCCGGCAGCAAGGGCGAGACCCCCAAGGAGTGGGGCAAGCTGGATGCTTGGCAGAAGGAGCTGTACAAGCACGTGATGCGAGGCAACTACGAGACGCTGGTGTCACTGGACTACGCCATCTCCAAGCCCGAGGTGCTCTCCCAGATCGAGCAAGGCAAGGAGCCGTGTAGCTGGTGCCGCGGGGCCCCCAAGGTCCCAGACGTGCCCGTGGACCCAAGTCCAGGCGCTGGGCCCCCTGTGCCCGCCCCCGACCTTAGTTTAAATAGTCCCCTTTATCTATCTCTTTTTTCACTTGCTCAGCCAGTGGTGTGACATCTTTGAAGATACCATTAGCTTCAATGTCATGGAGGGTTTTTCCAACATTGTCTTCAATGTACCTATGGTTTCTGGTCTGATGTTGAGGTCTTTAATCCATTTTGATCTTACTGTTGTACATTGTGTTAGGCAGAATTCTGTGCCCACTTTTTTACATGTAGCCATCCCGTAATGCCAGCACAATTTGTTAAAGCGACTTTCCTTACTCTACTTCACATTTCTTGCACCTTTATCAAAGATTAGATGATCATATGATTGACAGGAGATGTCAGTGTATTCAACCCTATTCCATTGGTCTGCAGTTCTGCCTTTGTTCCAGTACCATGCTGTTTTAATTATTACTGCTTTGTAGTACAGTTTGAAGTTAGGGAGGTTCATTCCTCCCATTTTATTTTCCCCAAGAATTGCTTTAGCTATTCGTGGGGGCTTAATGTTCCATATAAATTTCAGGAGTGTTTGCTCCATTTCTTTGAAGAACGTCATGATTATCCTTATAGGGATTGCATTGAATTTATACAGTGCTTTGGGAGGTATTGCCATTTTGACAATGTTAAGTCTCCCGACCCATGAGCAGGGGATATCTTTCCATTTCCTTATGTCCTCTTTTATTTCCTGAAGTAGCGTTTTGTAGTTTTCTTTGTACAGGTCCTTTACTTCCATAGTAAAGCTGGTTCCTAGGTACTTGATTTTCTGGGGCACAATTGTGAACGGGATTGTTTTCTTCATGTAGCTTTCTTCTCTCTCACTGTTTGCGTATAGGAAAGCCATGGACTTTTGGGTATTGATTTTATAGCCTGCAACTTTACTATACAAGTCTATTGTTTCTAGAAGTTTTTTGGTGGAGGTTATTGGGTTCTCTAAGTATAGTAACATATCATCTGCGAATAGTGAGAGCTTGATTTCTTCCTTTCCTACCTGAATGCCATTAATATCTTTTTCTTGCCTAATCGCTATTGCAAGTAATTCCAGTACTATATTGAACAGCAGTGGAGAGAGTGGGCATCCTTGTCTCGTCCCTGATCTTAGAGGGAAGGCTCTAAGTTTTTCCCCTTTTAGGATAATGTTTGCTGTAGGCTTGTGGTAGATGGCTTTAACTATGTTGAGGAAGGTTCCCTCTATACCCATTTTGGCTAGGGTTTTCATCATAAATGGGTGCTGGATCTTGTCAAATGCTTTCTCTGCATCTATTGATATGATCACATGCTTTTTATCTTTTCTTTTGTTGATGTGATGGATTATGTTGATTGATTTCCGAGTGTTAAACCATCCTTGCATCCCTGGGATATGGTGTCATGGTGTATGATCTTGGTCATGGTGTATGATCTTTTTGATGAGTAGTTGGATTCTATTTGCTAGTAGTTTGTTGAGGATCTTTGCATCTGTGTTCATTAGGGATATCGGCCTGTAATTCTCTTTCTTTGTGGTATCTCTCTCTGCATTTGGTATCAATGTGATATTTGCTTTGTAGAAACTGGTCAGAAGTGTTTTTGACATTTCAATTTCGTGGAAAAGTCTAAAGAGGATTGGGAGTAAGTCCTTTTTAAAGATTTTGAAGAATTCACTAATGAATCCATCCGGGCCAGGACTTTTGTGCTTGGGGAGACTTTTTATTACCATTTCAATTTCCTTGATGATGATAGGTCTGTTCAGGTATTCCAGGTCTTCTTGGTTCAGCCTTGGGAGTCTGTAAGAGTCTAGGAATTTATCTATTTACAGGGAATTTATTTATTTAAAGGGGTCCATAATCGAACCTGGGTTGGCCGCGTGCAAGCAAACTCCCTAACTGCTGTGCTGTCACTCTTGTTGGCTTCAAAGACGTCCCTGTTTCGCATAGAATAAGACTATTTATGGTCTTTTAGATAGGGGCAGCATGGACAAAATTAGAACAGGAAATTGTCAAGACTTTAGATTTTAAGGATGCCTTCTGGTAGTTATGTAAAATACCCAAACCTCTGATCTACATATCGAATGTTGATGCACTCCTTTACTTTCTTAATGTCTCTGTCAACAAATGGTGCACCTTTGGGACCCCCTATATAGACTGTATGGTAAACCTTTGCATAAATTTCTTCTCATAGCCCTTAAAATAATCTTGAATTTCATAGAGTGAGACATTATTGGAACTAATGTTTTTAGTTGTTTAGTTGTATTCAGAGATACAGTTGATGGATGACATTGAAGGGATGATAATTTGATATATATGTATATATTCAAAATGATCACCTCAAAAACATCTATAGCAGCACATAGTTATAATTTCACCCCTTATGATGAGAATTCTGATAGGTTTTTTAGGAACTTTATAATATAGGGTATAGTATGTATACATACATAGTTTCCATCATTTATTGATTATTTTGGCACTTAAATTGCCAAGGGAGAATGGGTAAATGTTAGGATAATGATTGCCTATAATTCGCAAAGGGGTGCGGATACTTAGGTCAATGATTTTCCTTGACTTTGGATGTATACAGAAGAGTTTGGTAGAATATAGGCAGAATGATTTTATTTATAGGTGCCACCCTAAGCAGTAGTGAGAGAATCTCGGTCATGCCTATGTCCTCTGCTCAGTGGTGTGTATCTGCAGCTCAGTTCTCGCTGGTGGTGCTTGGAAGTAACCAGAGTCATCCTGGGGATTGTCCAGGGTCATGAAGGCCATATATGGTACTCAGGGACCCTGTGGTGCCAGGTATCAAACTTGAGTCTTTCTTTCTTTCTTTCTTTCTTTCTTTCTTTCTTTCTTTCTTTCTTTCTTTCTTTCTTTCTTTCTTTCCTTCCTTCCTTCCTTCCTTCCTTTCTTTCTTTCTTTCTTTCTTTCTTTCTTTCTTTCTTTCTTTTATTGAATCACCATGAGAACAGTTACAAAGCTTTCAGGTTTAAGTCCAGAGGAATTTCTGCCAAAAGCCGCTGTGTTCCAAGATTGGTTTGTGTTCCTCTGGGATCATGGCCATTCAGCAGCAGAGGAACTATTCATGGGTGGCAACTCAAGGTCTGGTCTTGTCTGGAAGGATAGCCAGTTCTATCCCCCATCCCGAGAGACCCTGCATGCCACATCACTTCAAGACCATACCTCTCTGTTCAATAAGCTCCGAAAGATGGTGGTCGCCATGCTGCCACCAAAGTGGAAAAGGCAGAGGGATAATCTTCGTTCGCCTCCCAGGCCCGCCCGGGTCCATAACTTAGTTCACAGTCCAGAAGCATTTCTGCCAGAACCTGCTGGGTTCTGAGATTGGTTTGTGTGCCTGTGGGATCATGGCCATTTGGAAACAAAGGAGCCATTTATGGGCGGCAACTTGGGGTCTAGTCTGGGCTGGTTTGAGCTTTCCTTTTATAAATTACCTATGTCTCTAGCTCTGTACTCTGAACTTTCAGAGGCTCTAGTTACTATTTTCCTTTGTACTTGTAGCAACTTACTTTCCCAAAGTCATGCACAAAGCTTCTCATTATATACATCTTAACATTGAATATCTCTTGTAGTTTTGGTAGTAAGAGATTGACAAATCCTACTATAGTTTTTGATTTACATTTCCTTGATGGTTAGTGAAAACTGTTACCATTTTATGTTCTGCTGGCCATTTGAATGTCTTCTTTGGGAAAATGCCTATTCAGGATAGATGCCAAATTTTTAATTGGATTGTTTTATTATATTAAGATGTAGAATACTTTAGTTATTTTGAATATTAATCTAACCTCTTATCAGAGACTTGGTTTGTAAATATCTTTTTATTTTATATCACTTGATCACTTGACATCCCGTTACTCATTGATCTGCTCGAGCAGGCGCAAGTAACGTCTCCATTCCTCCCTGTTGTGTGCTAATGTAGCCCAATGGCATCTGCTTTTTCTAGGAACACGAAGAGCTTCAAACTGATCATTCAGGGTCTTGACGAAGAAGTCTGACCATCTCAGGGATTGGCAGACATGCGATCTTTTGATGTCCCGTGGAATCCATTCGGTAATGGCTCTAGTCCAGTGGTTGTCTCCAGATCTCATTACGTATGATATGATTTTTGTATATATGATTTCGTATATATGATTTCGTATATATGAGCCCATATGATTTTCGATGCCTTGGCAAATGAGACAGCGTCTCTGATTCTTGACCGTCGATGGATGTTGGAACTCCGAATTCTCTCATATCAGTGAAATTTTATACTCCAACCATAGCTCTTTCAATTCCTCTTTGGAAGACTGAATAGCATTCTCATCCTGTTTTCGTAGCGTCCAGGTCTCTGAGGCATATATTAATGCAGGAAGAACAGTGGAATTGAAGAGATGTTCCCGGAGCCGGAGGTTCTTTGTCCTCTTAGCTATTCTTGATTTTCTTGAAGGCATTCCAAGCCACTCTCTTCCTCCTGTGCAACTCAGGTACCAGGTCTTTCATCATGTTGGCTTCGCTACCTAGGTACACATAACTGTTGCATTTGGAGATGTTCGTCCCCTTGAGAGTGAATGGAATGTCAGTCACGACACTGTTTCCATAAACACTGTCTTTGTGAGTTTCAGTTGTAGTCCAATGTAAATACAATGGGTCTCATTCCCCTGATCTTGAAAGTGCCATCAGTAAATACTTATTTTATATATTAATGTATTATTCTAATTTTGATACATCTACACAATGAAATACTATGCAGCTGTTAGGAGAGATGATGTCATGCAAATTGCTTATGAGTAGATAGACATGGAGAGTATCATTTGAAATCAGTCAGAATGAGAGGGACAGATATAGAAGGACTATACTCATTTGTGGCGTATAAAATAACATAACAGGAGACTGACCTCCAAAGACAGTAGATACCAGGGCCAGGAAAATTGCTCCAGAGATAGAAGTCTGCCTCCAACTAGGAGTGGGTATGTGTCTGTTTGTGGGGCGGGGCGGGGGGAAGAAAGCAGATGGAATGGAGAAGGGATCACTAAGAAAAAGATGGTTGGATTAATCTGTCGTGATGGGGGATGTGTGCTGAAAGTAGATAAAGGAGCAAGCATGATAACCTCTCAGTATCTGCACTTCAATCCACAATTCCCAAAAGTAGATAGAGATATGGGGAATATTGTCTGCCATGGAGACAGTGGGAGGGTGGGAAAGTGGGGATGTACTGGGGATATTGGTGTTGGGGAATTGTGCACTGGTGGAGAGATGGGTGTTTGATCATTGTGTGATTGTAACTCAAAAATGAAAGCTTATAACTATAACTCACAGTGATTCAATAAAATAAAAAAAAGAAAAAAGAGAAAAGAAAGAAAAAAGAAAATATTATTCTACACATGTCCATGTCTACTGTCCTCCCATTGTTCATCAATTTGCTCAAGTGGGCCCAGTAACGTTTCCATTTCCATTTTTGCTGTTACTGTGTTTTGGTGTACTGAATACGTCTCGGTAACTTGCTAGGTTCTGCGAGAGGGGCAGAGGAATCAAACCCGGCTCTGCCGGGCTCGTGGTGTGTAAGGCAAACGCCCTACCACTGTGCTATCGCTCCAGCTCATTCAAATAATGTCTGCCACATACTAAATGCTCACTGTGTGGTATAATTTCATTATTACTATTCTACTTTAATGATTTATCACCAATGATTATAAAAATAAAATATATTTTATTAATTTGGTAGAAAAATAATCCTGTAATGACTTTTCAGCACTGCAACGTGGGTCAAAGTCTAGACTTCAAAATGGTTAAGAGCATATTCATTACTCATCAAACATGTAATAGTTTTTTGGGGGATGGTATACCAGTTAGTTCTCAGGACTTACTCCTGACTCTGGTCAGGGATCATTCCTGGCAGGGCTCTGGGGACCTTATGTTGTGCAAGGCTATGAAATGGTATTTGAAGAAATTCCTGCAAATATCAGCACACCATTTAATATGTAACAATTGTTCAAAAGGTGTTGCCTTGATTCCAAGGGAGAATTGGCACTGGTGGAGGGATGGGTACTTGAACACTGTATGACTGAAACGTAAGAACGAACCTTTGCAAATCTGTAACTGCACCTCATGGTGATTCATTAAAAAAAAAGGTGTTGCCTCTCTTGCTTGCAGATAACAATGAATGTAAACTGTACCTATGGATTGAAAAGTTGGGGTGGTAGAGTATTTTGGGCTAATTTGAACAAATTTCTGAGATATAATATACCCAGAGAAAGTCAATTTTTTGGTTAGATTTAGAAAAGGAAAACTGGGACCATAAAGATATAAAACATAAAAAAATTGGTAAATTAGTTTCAATTTATTCTTACTTTATTGATATATACTAGGATCAAATAGATATATGTTAAAAAGTGACAAGCTCAAGTACACCTTTATCCTTTAAGAGGGTGAGAGTAAATATTTCAGCTCCCAAATAAAACAAGATAAATACATTTGAGGATAGAAGGATGCAGATAAATACTTTTAAGGATTGAGGGATGCAGTCAGGATGGTAGAGCTCACACTCAGGTTTATAATAAAGAGCGCCAACCAAATATGCCATGAATATAAATTTTTCTGTCTTGGATGAAAGAATATATATATATATATATTACACGAGCAATTATAATTTTAAAATATTAGTCATTGCAATGACTAATATTTTAAAATTATAACTGCTTGTTTGCTCGAGCAAATCGATGAACACCAGGAGGACCGTGACCGTGAACTAGTCATTAGAATAGACATAAAGTTCAAATTGATGAGTATTCTAAACATTGATAATATATTACGATTGTAAAATTTTTCTTGCATCAAAAATGAATGAAGAAAACTGGAATGTTGGTTTCTCATTAATAAAAATTAAAAAAAACTGGAATATTGGTAAGGATTTAATATTTGGCAATTTTTAAAAATTATATATTGTGATTTCTCCCATAAATGATGAGAGATACCTTGTAGGATAACATTAGGTTTGTCCTTTCAGTCTTGCCACAAAGAACTTAATTTACCTTAAGGCAATGTCCTTTC